CTCAAATACAACAATTGTGAGGATAGATAGTGTGGGCAATGTTTCATTCTTTTGTGCATAGGGTCCTGTGAGTCAGATCTGACTTGACGGTACTTAACAACAACTGGTGAATTGGAAGATGGATCGAAAGAAGCATCCAGGGTGGATCAAAGTGAGATAAAGAGAAGGAAAATATGTGAAAGGCAAATAAGCAAGAGAATAAAGTGAGAAGACGCAAATCATGTTTAATAAGCATTCTAGAAGAAGCAATTGAATGAGAAAGCAGCACTATTTGAAGAATAAGGATGAAGAATGTTCCAGAACTGAAAAAGTGCCCTCAGAAAATACAGGAGTCTCAAGAATGTGTACGCTTTCTGAAGCCCAGTTTGAGGAATGCTAATAAAATTGAAAATGTGCATCCCTGTCACTCGGCAATCCCTCTTCTAGAGATATAGTTCCCATATTTACAAGAATTTTCACTGAAACATGGTTGTAATATACAAGAATTTTTCACTAGGTTGCTATTGTAATAGCAAAAATAACGACAATAATAGAAAACAATTGTCCAAAGGTTCATAAAAGATAAGCTGTGGATGATTTGTTTCTTATAATGGAATACCACAGAGGAGTTAAAGTGATAAACCAAAACAACACGTATCAGTCATGTTAAGTGAAAAAAGGAGGTTTCAGAAGGATATGAACAGTGTACTGCCATTTATGTAAAATTTAAACATATATAAGAATAAAACGAGAAGATTCAAATTATGTTTGATTGACATTCTTCTTGTTGTTAGGTGCCCTCGAGTTGGTTCCGACTATAGAGATCCTGTATACGGTTTATAAGGAGTGGCTGATGAGTTTGAACTGCCAAACTTGTGGTCTAGTGCTTATCCTACAGCGCGACAACAGGACTTGAAGAAGAGATTGAGAAATGGGAACTATTTGAAGAAATAAAGAGGAAGAATTTTCCAGAATTGAAAAAAATATTCTCAGAATCAGGAAATACAGAAGTCCCAAGACAGTGTTCCCATTCTGAAGCAGTTTGGTGTGTTCTTGTTAAGTTCCGTCGAGTTCGATCCAGAGCCATGCTGTGCTCAACAAAATGAAACATTGCGCAGTCTTGCGCTATCCTCACTAATGTTGCTACGCTTGAGCACATTGCCACTGCTACTGTGCCAACCCATCTTGTTGAGGGTCTGTTTTTTTCCGCTGATCCTCACGGTTTGTCAGTAGCTAACAAAGTTGAAAATGTGCATTTCCTATCACTCAGCAATCCCTTTTCTAGATATATACCTGGAGAATGTCTCCCACAAATGGACAAGGGGTAATTTACAAGACTATCCACTAAATATTATTACTTAAGTGCCATGGACTGCCAAAAGAACCAATAGATCTGTTTTGGAAGAAGTGCAGCCAGAGTGCTCCTTGGAGGCCAGGATGGCTAAGCTTCGTCTCTCCTACTTTGGACATATTGTCCAGAGGAAACAGTCGCTGGAGAAGGATGTCATGCTGGGTAAGGTGGAGGGTCAGAGAAAAAGAGGAAGACCCCTAACGAGATGGATCGGCCAGGTGGCATCATTGATGGACTCAAGTGTGGCAGCGGTAGTGAGGTTGGCCCAGGATGGGACATTGTTTAGTTCTGCTGTACATGGGGTCGCTATGAGTCGGTTCCGACTCGATGGCACCTGACAAAAACAACAATAAATGTCACACATTAAAGGATACATACAAATATAGTGAAAGTATTAAAGATTACATGGAACTACAGTCCTGGTGTGGTGCTGCAGGATAATGCACTGGACTGCAATGTTGGTTTGAGTCACAAGGTCAGCGATTCAAACCCATCAGGTGCTCCTGGAAACTGTATGAGTTGGAATCCATTGACAGTACTTAGTAACAACATTAACATCAGGACAATGATTATCCCTAATAAGGAGTAAGGGGGAAAGGATTGGGCCTGGTTAATTGTATTTATTTTCATTAAGGGGAAATCTAAAGCCAATATAGCAAAATAATACTACCAGATTAAATTTGGGTAGGATTTCTGATAAACTACATTTTTATAATGAGGGGGCTTCAGAACACTAGTGGCAAAATTCCATAATCTTTTAACTCCATTTTCCATGAACTTTGTGAAGCCCCCTCATATATTTGAAATATTTCATTGCTAAAAAAATTTTTTTTTTTTTTTTTAAAGTAAAGCAGGATCCTAAAACAATTATAATAAATGGAAAGGAAAGAGGCTTCATAGCTACTGATTTTTAGTTGATGCCGAAAGAGACACAGAGACCTTGCAAAATACTTAACTCCCTAAACCTGTTTGTTTTCTCTCAGGTTCCTGAAGCTAGCTGTCCCAACTGAACTCTAGTTTATCTGAAATCCAATGACAGTAAAAGTGAAAAGGCAAACACATTGTATTTTTAGTTCTCATGATTATAACTATTACTGCTTATAGCAGCAGCTACTCACCAGGCACTAGAATCCTGGTGTGGCATGTAGGATCAGCATTGGACTACTAACTGTAGGGTTGGTGGTTCAAACCCACCAACCGCTCCTCAGAAATCCTATACAGGGTTGCTATGGGTTAGAACCAATATAAAGATAGATATTTTTCTGCCACTAAGTTTTTATGAATGTTGGGAAACAATTTTCCGTATATTTCTCTCATTCCTGCCCAGACCAGCACTTCAGAGCAAAGGACATTCTTTGCGTAGCTAACAGCCTTGTTTGTTCATTTGGAGCGATCTCGAGATCTCCCTGGAGATGTCACAAGACACTAAAGATAAGGCACCCTCCTTCCTGAGTTAATTGCTACACTCAAGGGTTAAGAAACGTAAAGACACTTTTCCCCTGTCCTCTGGAGGGGATCCACTTACATTTCAGGGTAAAGAATAATCTGTGGTTTTCTTTCTGGAGGGTAGAGTGAGCAGATGTGCCAGCATCTCTGTAAGATGCTCAAAGTCTCCTAATTTCAGGGTTCCTCCTCAGTGATGAAACTTATTAGATGCACAGGTAACATCAGGCCTTCACTGTGTTGCCCTAACATCACTGAGGGACAGAGAATTGACACAAGCGAATACTTTGGATGTTGTTTTTGCTGCAAATAATAAATCATCTATGTCTCTGATCCAAGAGGCTTATGTCTTTTGTCAACGTGTGCATGTATATATGCACACATGTGTGTCTGTAAGTGTGGCAGGAAAAATGTAGGGTAAAATTTCTGATCTTTCATAGTTGTGACTTAACAATGAGGAGCACAATAATAAAAGCAAGACTTTAATAACACAATGGGCAGGGTCTTCAAACACGATTTTGTAAAGAATGCAGAAATATTCTTCAAAGAATATTTCTTGTATCAATTGGCTATTTTGGGGGTTTGACAATTTTAAGACTGCAAAAATCATAGATTCAGAAAGATATTTCAGTGGGAATTTAAAATAATACTGTTTGTCAGTGGTTCTTTTTAGGATAAGCACTGGACTGCTAACTGAAAGGTCAACGGTACAAACCCACCAGCCATTCCTCAGAAACCCCATACTGGGTTACTATGAGTCAGATTGATATAGGAGCCCCAGTGATACTTTAGGATAAGCAGTAGACTGCTAAGAACAAGGTCAGCAGTTAAACCCACCAGCTGCTCCATGGAGGAAAGATGAGGCTTTTTGCTTCCATTAACATTTACAGCCTCAGAAACTCACTCTGAGTTGGTACCTCCTGGACCACAGAAAACAATGATCCAGGAATAAGACTTATGGTGATTAAGGAAATTCATTAAACCATTTAACAAATGTCATCAGGTAACTGATATCACAAGAGGGTCTCTTCTAAGTGCTGCTTTATGACAGTTCATAGTAAAAATATCCTTTTTGTCCCCCTGAAAAATGTTCTGAAAATGTCAAAATCTTTGAATAGGGAGAGATTTCTGTGTAATGAATATTTGCTGATTTTGGTCATCCAGCATTCATTTTGTTAAAACATCCTAGATTTTTATTTGGGGATTGTCCCTTTCCCCACTCTCAGGTCATGTGTCCTTGTTGAAGTTACATCCCAGCTCTCAAGATGAAACTGGCAACTCCGTCCAGCTTAGACGTGAGCAATGAATGCTGAGAGAGTGGACCTCAGCACTTGGCAGGAATACTGGGTCAACGAATCTCTTTTCCTTTCTCCTGCATTTGACCCTGAAAAGCTAGGAACAGCTACAAATCATCTTGTGGTCATGAGGGGAAAACCTTTCTGAGAATGGAGTCAACATAGAGAAAGTAGAGGTGGGAGGTGACAAAAAAGGAATTCAGGATCTGGAAGGCAGAATTTGAGTACCTGTAACCAGCAATACCTGAAACCTTGATCAACTTTGGAATGTTCAACAATACAAACTAATATATCTAATATATCTCCTCTTGAATTAACCAAGTTTGTGCCAGGTTTTCACTTTGAGATTGTTGTTAAAATTTTAAGATGTTTCAAATAATGCCCAAATTGAAGAACCCAGAGTTCTGTGCCATACAGTTTAAAGAAAAGGAAATTTGTCCTTAGAAATACCATACCATACTGATCATTTAATGTTATTTAATTAAATAACATACATTATTTAATGTAGAACATGTCATTTGAAAGAAATGCCAGTATGTTATGAATCTATCAAAAAAGCATTTATAGTTAAATATAATCAATATATCAACTACAAATTACCTTGGAATCATAAAGTCATTGGAAAAAGGGTTTGTCACAAGTGCAAATCTAAAAGCTTATGTTTAAGGTTAAACAATCTAAAATTGACAATTTAATATTAATGTAATAATAAAGTAGAAAAAATCCACATAATTTCTCCTTTCTGACTTAGTAAACTCAGAGAATATACCATATTGGAAAAAAAGACTCAACCATTCATTTCTTATTCAAGTATATCTGATTTACAAGTAGGACAGCCAATCACAATGAGCTCCATTTTCATTTTCCAAATTTTACAAATTCAAAGCAGTTCCTAAACCAGAGTTCAGTTGCACAATGCAGTATTCACTTACCTGCAAGTTATAGAGGGGTTGCTTTGGGGTATTGACTTCCCTCAGCAAACGACCAGATATGTCCCTTAGCTCTAAAAGCCGATAAGCAAGCTGAGGCTGCAGAAGTCTGGCCACTGATTTAGAGGATCTGGATATGCTGTGTAATCCTTGAATGAATGTTCCTCGATTGATCCTGGCTAAAACATTAGCCATTTTGACCTTGGAAAATTTTTTGATGGGTTCTGTTTT